GCCTGGTCACTCTGTAGACACTTTTTCTCCAATTTTTCATCTGGTCAGGATCCTGGGTGTGGGTACATGAATACGCCTGGTGTGTTTTTCAAGCCGGTGGGGCCCAGACTCGAACCCTGGTTGGCCATGTGGGATCTGGCTTCCTCTGCACAGTGCCTGCCTGCTACAGGGCCAGCCCTCATTACCAGCTTCCTCACGGCTCGCCTGAAAGTGCTTGTGGATGGGAGTGTATCTTGTGGAAAGATCTTTATGAAACGTGGGGAAATAGCTATCTGGTATATTGCCACTGCAGGATTCTCTCCAGACATGGGTGCTCGATAACGACACTACTTGAGAATCTAGACTGGACCTCAGAAGTGTTTCTTTTTAAATATCATTATTCTAACTTGCTGTAGGGTATGTGTCCCTGCCTTTTCTCTTCTATTTGTTCTGGTTCAGGGATACTATTGATAATTCTCTTTCTGTTTAATCTTTCTCTTTTTCTATCTAATTGCTTTTTTTTTTCCTCCTCAGTACTGTGGTTATCTTTAGATTGTTCTCTTTGCAATTAGTTTCATTTTTAGTTTTTGGTTATTTTTCTTGTTGTTTTTCAAATTCATTGTTCTTAATTAGTTTTCTTAGCCCTGTGACTTTTTCTGTTCAGCTCACCTGTTTCTTTTCTTCCTCTGTGAACTTTTATTAGATTTATCTTCTTACTAGGTTGTCCTCTGTTAAAAAGAATGCACTGAGGTTTTCCTCTTTTCCTTGTTTTAGGTCTCCTCTAAGAACGGAGACCTCATTTGTTTTTTGCGCTGTGTCCATTCTAGTCAGCCTGTGTGTCCCTGCATGTGGGTTCTGCTTCCATAGGGTGAGCCAACTGCGAATGCAGCAGGCCGGGCAGTTGCTATGGCATGGGGAAAGAGGTAGGTCCCCAGAAGAGTGATGCTGAGTAAACATAGGTGTTTCCCTTTCACTTACATCTGGTGCTTGGTTACTTATGTGTAATCTAGAGATGGTTTAGGTACCCAGGAGGGTGTGTCTGGGTTACATGCAGATGTCTCCACCACTTTATATGAGGGACTTGAGCATCAGTACATTTTGGTATCCATGGAGGTCCTGGAACGAAGCCGCCAGAGACCTATGGGTGGCTGTGTTTGCTTCTCCTCTCCTTTCACCTGTTGCTTGTCCAGTTGCATGATTTTTAAATCTCATTTGAGTTTTATCTGGATAGGTAGGTTAAGGCTTTGTTTTGTCTTGATATAACGTGGCCGATTTCCCAAAGGCCTCTCCTGCCCTAGCTCGCTTTCTCTTGCACTTCCCCAGTACCCCTTCAAGAAGCGTGTGCTTGTCTCTGTCTGCTTTTCTGGGGTTAAGGGTGTGAGGTAGTCTTGGTGGGAGAGATAGTCTGGGGCCCCAGGCTTTCCTGTCTCAGTGATTGTGCTCCGTGTCCTCCTGTACCCCTTCAGTCCAGCCCATTGAGGGTGCCGGGTGTTTCTGTAGGCTTCAGCCCCTCCCTCAGCTAAGCATTATGTCTTGGAAGTCAGCAGACCCAACTGTTTCTGCTTGGGTTTTGATGCTTCTGTTCTCAAGATGTTTTTTCTAGGTTTCCTAGGGCACACCAAATAGGATCTTTCTATACAAACAGGAAGACGTTGATTAATATTTTCAAGTTTCGTCAAGTTTGTCAGCTCTCCCATCTTTCTTATTGCTGCCCCCTGCAGTGTACTGAGGCCGGGATGGTGCATGGGACCATTCAGACAGACTCTCTAGCCATTCCCTTTTTCTCTTCTTAAGTTTTTGCTATAGGATGTGTGTACTTACCGGAGAGAGAAAGAGGCTTTTAGGGAGAAATCACCACTGGAGGAATGGCCATGCTGCAGTCCCTTCTCCCTCACTCTCCTCTTGAGATTCGGGCACACACAGACACATGCCTGACGTGATTCTCAAACGGCCTTCTCCTGGACAGTAGTTATCTGGTATAGATACTGCCGCTGTCCCAGGTTGACCATGTGGGAGTCTAGCATCTTAACCACCATGCTACCTGCTGGCCCTGCCACTACTTTTAAAGTTTATAAGTGCTTAGCCTAAACAGTTTCTTGCGTGATTGTAGTTGGTGGATTTTTGGCTACAAAAGCACGTACAAACATGTATGAATACACATACATACATACAGAGACACATGCACACAGACACACTCACACATGCACATATTCTGTCCCTTTATTATTTATTAAGGGCAGAACATTCTATAATTCTGTTTCACCCCACTGTCTTTGTATGAAAACATATGATTTTCTAAACATTCAAAAATTTTTTTTTTAGAGAGATTTTTGGCATAGGGCATGTGTGCTCACCTGAGAGACAGAGAAAGAGAAAGTGAGAAATCACCCCCCAGTCCCTTCTCCTCCATTCTCTTCTCAGGATTTTGGGTATGCACATAAACCTGGCATGAATTTTAAGCCACCGGGTCTGGGACTTGAACCGCTATCGATTATATGGGAGTCCAGTGGTGTAACCATTATGCCATCTGCTGATCCCCTAAACATTTCATTTTGACATAACCTTTACATGCTCTGAAAACTCTTAATACTTAGTGTCGAGTTGACTTGAAATCCTTTTTTCTTTTCTAGAGAGATTTTTGCTATAAGGTGCATATAGTTGAGAGACAGAGAAAATGATAAATCACCCCCACCCAGGAGGGATGGCCATACCGCAGTCTCCTCTCCTCCATTCACTTCTTGGGACTTTGGGCGCGTGCGCGCGTGCACACACACACACACACACACACACACACACACACACACACAAGTGCCTGGCATGAGTTTCAAGTCTTTGGGTCCAGGACTCAAACTGCAGTCGGCCATATGGGAGTCCAGCATCTTAACCACTGTGCCACCTGCTTGCCTCTCTTGAAATATTTTTTATTTGTTGTTGTAGGATACATGTGCTTGCCAGAGAGAGAAACAGAGAAGGAAAATGAGAAATCACACCTGGGGGCCAGCAGGTGGCATGGTGGTTGGGGGCGCTGGGTCGCTGAACTCCTACATGACCGACTATGTTTTGAGTCCCGGACCTGGCAGCTTGCTTTCTTACTTTCTCTCTCCTCTCTGGTCAAATGAAAAATAAATGAAGTTAAATAATTCTTTAAAAGAAAAAAAAAACGAAATCACCCCCATGGTAGATGGCCATGTGGTGTTCTTTTCTCTTCCATTCTTCTCTCAGGATCAGCATGCCACATGTTCCTGACATGTTTTTCAAGCCTCTAGGTTCAGGACTTGAACTGCAGAGTCAGCTATATGGGATCCAGTGCCATAATCACCATGCCACTGCTGGCCCCATTTTTCTCTTTCTCCTTTTAAAAAAACAACAGTGACCCTAAGACTTGCATTTGTCTTTTACTTGTGTTTTGGCCATATTTGTGGTTTTACCAAAGTTTTGCAGAATTACAGTGAATTTATAGTGATCATGTTATATTTCACAGTGTTATGGCAGATGTTGTAATATTTTTGTCTCATCTTTATAATCTCATCTCATGGCATGTCATAATTTATTAAAGAGTCACTCAAATGAAGGCCTTTGGTTTCTAGTTTTATGCTCTATTGTGAGCATTGAACCTTCTGTGTTTGACATATTATCTCTAAAATAAATTTGAGGGATTGAAATTAATGGTGAATCAGTTTTATGAACTCTTTATACTTTTTACTAACAGTAGTGTCTGTTTATGTACTGAAAGAAATTCTTTTGTGATAGTTGTTTAAAATTTCAACTTAGGTCTTAACCCTAAATGCCAGAGGAGTTTCTCTCCATCCTTCTCATGACATTATAATTGAAATTTTAAAAATGTATTCCAGTTTTTGTAAGATCATGTCTGCATTTAAGAAAAACCCAACATCATTATTATTGTTATTATTGAGAGGTTTTTGCTAAAGGGCGCGTGTGCTCACCAGAAAGACAGAGAGAGACAGAGAGATAGAATGCGAGAAATTACCCCCCTGGGGGAATGACCACGCCACAGTCTCTTCTCCTCCATTCTCCTCTCAGGATCTTGGGCATGCACACACACGCGCCCGGCCTGAGTTTAGACCACTGGGTCCGGGACTCTAACCTTGGTCGACTACTGGGAGTTCAGCGACATAGCCATTACGTTAACTGCTGGTCCCTTATTTTATTTTTTTAAGAAAGATTTTTGCTATAGAGCATGTGTTCTCACCAGAGTGACAGACAGAAAAAGAGTGAGAAATCACTCCTTGGGGGGATGGCCACTCTGTAGTCACTTCTCCATTCTCCTCTTCAGAAGTTTGGGCATGCATGCACACATACGTAGCCTGTGTCCAGCTGCTGGGTCTGGGACTCAGATTGCAGTCTGCCATGCAGAAGTCCAGTGTCCCAACCACTGCGCCACCTGTTGGCCCCCAAGTCTTATTCTTAAAGGAGAGAATACTAAGGCTGAAAGAATTACTTGTATTGGAAATTGGGAGATATACTGTAAAAGTATTATTATTATTAAAAAGAAATAATATGGTCTGATTTTACTATTCCTGTATTTTACTATCATCATCCATAGCCCAAGATTATAAAATGGTTTGCTAAAAATGTTCTTTATTTGGAGTCAGCAGATGGCATAGTGTTGAACATAAGGTGTTGAACACCCATGTGACTGACCAGTAGGTTGAAACTCACTCTGGGTATGTGTGTGCATGTGCCCAAAATCCCAAGAGGAGAATGGAGGAAAAGGGATTGTGGCATGGCCATCTTCCTGGAGGGTGATTTTTCATTCTCTGTCTCACTGGTGAGTGCACATGCCTTACAGCAAACATCTCTCAAAAAATTATTTTTGTCCAGTAAGAATTATTGAGCTAATTAGTTCATTTAATATTTGTTAAGAGTTCTATAGGAATCATGAGTAGCTTTTGGGCTTTTCTGCATGTAACTGTAGAACTGTATATATTTATATATATAATGTAATAATTCATGTAATTATCTTTATTTAGAAATGTTTAAACTTTTTTTTTTCTTTTCAGATTCTATGAAATTTTAAGAACAAATGCACTTTATATTTATAGCTCATGGAAGAAAAAACACAAATCAAGACATTTTTGGGTTCCAAGTTACCAAAGTATGGAACAAAATCTGTAAGAAGTACACTACTACCAGTACCAAGTGGGGCACCTGCTAATTTATTAGGAGCTTCAAAGAATGGTAACATCAAAAGTTACGTAAAAAATAATGGCTCAGGTTGTTCATCATCGCATTCATTTACCTGGAGAAAAGCAGATAAGTTCCAACTTACTGTACAAAATTCTGAAGAGCCTAACAGTACTCAGAATTTACACAACAAATTAATTGATTCTGAAAAACATGCTTCTACTCAAGGAATGCTTGATAAAAATGGGATGAAGAGAGGCTTGAGAAGTGTTTCTTTATTCACATCAAAGTTAGCAAAGCCATCTACTATGTTTGTGTCATCTGCAGAGGAGTTAAACCAAAAGTCTTTTTCTGGACCATCTAATTTGGATAAATTCACCAAAGGCACATTATTAGGAAGGACCTCATATTCTTCAGTCAGTGCTCCAAAATCGCAGTTGAATGGATTTTATGGAAACCGTTCGACTGTTAGCATGCAGAGGCCTAGAGCGAACTCCTGTGCCACCAGAAGCAGTTCTGGAGAAAGCTTAGCACAATCTCCAGATAATATTAAATCTATTACTTGTGAAAAAATGGTAAGGTCACAGAGTTTTTCACATTCCATTCAGAATTCATTCCTTCCTCCGTCATCTATAACCAGATCACATTCCTTCAATAGAGCTGTGGATCTTACAAAGCCTTATCAGAACCAACAGCTACCCATTAGAGTGCCTCCGCGGTCAGGTATGCTGACGAGAAGTTCCCGGCCGTCAGAAGTACTCAATGGGAATGAACATTGGGGGTGTGGGTTTAATAGGTCTTATGCTGCTGGTGGAAAGAAGCTGGCTTTAACAAATGGCCCAGGTGTAACGTCCACTTTGGCTTATAGGATGGTTCATCCTTCCCTACTGAAACCTAGCCGCCCTCCATTTTCTGGGACTATCACAGTTGACAGTAATAAAAATCCACCTGCTGACACAGGTGTAGTGGAGGGTGCTACAGTTTTGGCTAAAGACAGAGGTATGAATAAGGACCATGAACTAATCGAAAACGAAAGTTATAGAACAGAAAATGACCAAACCATGAAGCATGATGCTAAAATTAGATACCTGAGTGATGATGTGGATGACATTTCCTTGTCTTCTTTGTCCTCTTCTGATAAGAATGATTTAAGTGAAGACTTTAGTGATGATTTTATAGATATAGAAGACTCCAACAGAACTAGAATAACTCCAGAGGAAATTTCTCTCAAAGAAGAAAAGCGTGAAAATGTTTCACCAGAAGATATATTTGATTCCCCCAAGGAAAATGAAAAAGCCTTCAGTAAAACGGATGAGTGGATAGATATAACAGTCTCTGGTAAATATGAATATTCTTAAATGTATTTATTTGCATTCTCTTAGGTAATGTGATGAAACTTTCAGTTAGTAATGTCTTCTGATAAATTGTGAGATACTATCAGTGTCACAGAATGGTGGATCTAAATAAAATTGGGAGTGGGGCAACATTTATCTTCCTCCTGACTTTGTCTCCATATCCCAGTTTTCACCCTATCTATGTCAAACAACAATGAAAACTCTCTTAACCTTTGCTCTTCCTCTGCTGTCATAACACCGGCCTGTTCCTACTCAGTGTAGATAATGCTGCCAAATGATGTTTTGGCTACTTCCCCTACCCAGTGGTATACCATTACATAAAGCATCTCTTCAAGTTGCAGATCATTACTATTTTTAAGAGTAATGTTGTACCAAATGTATATCATGTCCCAGCTAATGAATTTTTTATCCTCGAGAAAATTTGTAATCTTTATAGAATATTTCCAGAGGAGCTTTATTTATTTATTTTTTAATTGAACAAGTGAAATAGTACCCGTTAAACATTTCATTTTAAAGTTAGTTTTCCTGGAGTGCTGGAGAAAATGTATCTGCATGCCCATATGGCCTGGAAAAAAAGAACAGACTGAATTGGATACAGGCATATGTCTTGACCAAGGGACTAGATCATATTTGGAGGTTCACAGAAATTCTTAATTATATGTAGGTCTCCTAAAAGGGACTGCCAGAACAAGACTTTTTCCTTGTAAGGAGGCAACTATCAGGATAAGAAATGTAACAAGAGGAAGGAGAGCTTCCAGAGCAGTGTCTAAAAGTAAATATCTTGGGAAATAGTAAGGAAATACAGGGCCCTATGTATATTTTTAGAAATGTTTCGTAAGTAAAGATGACTAAATGAATTTTCTTTATATCTACTAAAAATATTTCAGCCGGTTATTTTAAATGTTTTGACTCTTTATTGTTTAGGATTTAGAAAATGCTACAATTATGAATGTCTTTTTAAACCATCTTCTTTGCTATATGAAGTTAGTAGAGCTTATATTTTTAGATTGTGAAAAAAGTTTTTGTGAATTAATAACTTTTTTTCCTCTCTTTTTTTAAATCAATTGAAGACAGGAGTGAATGTACAAAACATACTTCTGGGAATAACTTGATTTCGCCAGATACAGATTACAGAGTTGGTTCTTCATTTGAACTCTCTCCATCTGATAGCTCCGATGGAACATACATGTGGGATGAAGAGGGCTTGGAACCTATTGGAAATGTCCATCCAGTTGGGAGCTATGAATCCTCTGAAATGAACAGCATCGTATGTATGGATTTATGGACTCTTCTGGAATGTTTTGTTTACTTATTGTAGAGAGGCTTATGACATTCTTTAATTATGAATTCAGTTTCCTAGACATGGAAATTCACTTTTGTCAAGGGTCTATAAAATATCTGACCCTAACATATAATAAAGCATGGAGAATATAGGCCACAAGCATTTTCAAACATAAGCACATACTCAGGCACATACCGCATTGGTCAGGTTAAACTAGGCTGGTGGTTCTTGGGGAAGGAGCACAATGTCTGTTGTCCCAGCTCTTGTGTAGAGGCTGGGTTGCTGCTCGCTGTCCTGCAATGCACAGGCAGATGCCCTCAACAAAGAGGGATACAGCCAAAGATGGCGGCAGTGCTGCCGTTAGAAACCCTGGGCTGTCTATGCTGAGTGGTGTCCGGGCGCCAAATCTCAGTGGCTTAACACAAGAAAACTTTAATTTTCACTGTTAGAAAGTCTGTGGCATGCCTGACAGCTCTGTAGAGCAGCTGTCTTTAGTAGTCTAAGCTCCTTTCATCTTGGGACTTGACTGTCTCTTGAAGCCCTTTATTGTTACTGTGGCAGAAGAGTGCCAGAGGATTTTACACACACAGTTACAGTTGGTGATGTTCCTTCCTGGTATCCTCGGAGAATTGGTTCTAGAACCTTTCTTGGATACCAAAATCCAGTGATGCTCAGATGCCTTATATAAAATGGTGAAGCATTTGCATATAACCTGTGCACATCCTCATATACTTTAAATCATCTCTAGGCTACTTGTAAGTAATCTTAGCATGAGATATAAGTTAAAAGAAAATATTTCAATGAACTTCTTAAACATCCTCAGTAAGGGGGTCACCTTTCCCCCTCATTTCACAGCCGTTGGTATGGCCTGGCTGCGTTTCTTGTTGCTTGAATCCATACTTGTGAAACATACAGATTCAGAGGGCAGATTGTACTTGCTTTGATTTCTAAGTGGCACATAATATTTTCACTCACTACCTGTTGACCAGAACTAATCATGTGGCCCCACGTTAAGTACTAAGGGGACAGGAGTGTCATTTTTGGTGTGTCTGGATGGCAAGGGAACCAGGTATGGGTGATGCTGGAGATGGCCTTTCATTTGTAAATATATATATACCTCCTAGGGGGGATGGCCCACACCGCAGTCCCTTCTCCTCCATTTTCCTCTCGGGATCTTGGGCATGCATGCACATGCGCCCGGCGTGAGTTTTAAGCCACTGGGTCTGGGATGCGAACCGCGGTTGACTACATGGGAGTCCAGTGACATAGCCGTTACGCTAACTGTTGGTCCCTGTAAATGTATATTTTGAGAGACATTGCAAGTAATGTAGATAATAAGCCAAATGAGTAAAGGGTAATTAGTGTGTTTAAAGTGACTCACTATAATTGTTCAGTATATAAAATATGATTTTCCAGTATTCATTGGGAAAATCGGTAAGTCTTTTAGGATGCATTGAATTCCAAGTGGATTTCAGGTATGTATTTTTCTGTGCTCACATGTAGACCTCTGTCTTGCTAACAGAGACTTGTTAGGGTTTACAGAGAGAGGGTACACATTTAATTTAGAGAGGAGCTCTGTCTCATTAGATAAAGGAGGATTAGGAAAGATTACATTTTAGTGCATTATGTGCGTCTTTACTGGGAGTTTTTTGAGCTGTGTGACAGACGTGCAAATAAGTATTCATTCCAGCAGGTGGCAGCAACAAGCCACGTAAGACCTGACATTTTCCAGAAGTTCATGGTTTTTGATTCACTGTTTCTGTAACTAATGACAGCAGTCTCTTCTGAAAGAGTTTAGAATGCATCTGGGTTGAACTTTAGTCTTTTTTTTTTTTTTT